TCGTTTTGGTGTTCTTACTGTTCAATTTTTCTCGGCAGACTGTTTTATAAAGTTTTGTTTTGATTGCAAAGGTGGAAAGACAAGAGATGTTATTACCTATTCTATCATCGGAACATGAGTACCATAAAACTTGTTAGTTACAACATAAATGGTTTGAATCATGTTATAAAAAGGAAAAAGGTTCTGACTCAATTAAAAAGGTTGAATTGTTCCATTGGGCTACTACAAGAAACCCATTTAAATGAGGAAGAACATGCCAAATTAAAAAGAGATTGGGTGGGCCAGGTCTTCAGTGCGTCATACGAAAATTATAAAAAAAGGGGAGTGGCTATACTCTGTCACAAATCTTTGAATTTTGTGCCAGAGAAAATACTTAAGGACAAAAAAGGCCGTTGGATACTGGTTAGAGGTCTCATTGGATCGATCTCTTTGACAATTATGAATGTTTACGCCCCAAACGAAGACGATCCGGGTTTTTTCAAAGAGTTGGCTCCAATTTTGGCTGGAAATTCTGAGGGTATAATTATAATGGGAGGGGATTTTAATTGTGTCTTAAATCACATAGATAAATTTCCATCTGAACAAAAAAACAAAATGGCTAAATCCAAAACATTGAATTGTATGCTAGAGGAATTAGGGCTGGTGGACATGGCGGGTGAAAAACCCAAGGGTTCGGGATTATACACATTTTTCAAGAGTTCATAAGAGTCATTCTAGAATAGATTTCTTCTGTATGTCAAAACAAGATATTCATAGGGTTGAAGACAGTCACATTGAACCCCAGACCTTATCGGATCATAGCCCAGTGTCAATGACCTTAAATGTCGACCATGACAAGCCTTTAAAACTATGGAGACTAAATGTGTCACTTTTGAACAATCCTGAAGCTATTCAGTACATAAAGGAAGAATTAGTATACTTTCTGGAAACTAATGATAATGATGTGGTCTCCCCCTCCATTTTATGGGACACAGCAAAGGCCTTTTTGAGAGGTAAAATAATTTCACTTTCCTCCAGATATAAAAAAGACCGCGAGAAGAATCAGACAAAATTAGAACAGTTGAAAAAGTTAGAAAGTGACCATAAAAGAACTAATGCCAATGATACTTTTAATAAGTTGGAAAAATGTAAACAAGAACTGAATGAAATATTGACGTATAAGGCAGAAGGTGCGTTACGCTTCACCAATCAAAGATATTACGAGCAAGGAAATAAAGCGAGTAGATTACTTGCATTTCAACTAAGGAAAGCTCAGGCAAGTAGAGTAGTTCAAAAAATGTCATGCTCAATATCCAAAAGGTTGATGTCTCATCCCAGAGCAATAGCCAATGCTTTCTCTGAATATTATAAACAACTTTATGATTCTGAGCCCACTTATAATAAAAGAGAAAAAATAGATCTTCCACAACTAGATACAAATAAGGCTAAAGCCCTAGTAGGCAGTATTACAAAAGAAGAAATTAAATCCATAATAGGGGATTCGGACGGGTTCCCCGGCGAATTTTATAAGTGTTTCCAGTCGGAACTTACTCCCCTTCTACAAAGAGTGTACAACTATGCACTGAATAATAAAGAGCCACCTAAAACATGGGCTGAAGCAATCATTTCAGTTATACACAAAGAGGGGAAAGACTCCACACAATGCGCATCTTACAGACCCATAAGTTTACTTTGCAATGATGTTAAAATCTTGAGCGCAATCTTAGCCAAAAGACTCCAAAATATTATTAATGACCTCATTAATCCGGATCAAACTGGATTTATTCCGGGCAGACTGGGAATGAATAATATTAGACGCACCCTAAATGTGATATCTACTGCGCGAAAGGACCCCGACACATCAATGCTTCTGAGCCTGGACGCTGAGAAGGCTTTTGATCGGGTGGACTGGTTATTTTTGAAAAGTGTCTTGATAAAAATGGGCTTTGACGAGAATTTTGTTGAATGGTTTGAGGTACTGTATACAAAACCCACATCAAGGGTCCGTGTTAATGGTCACATGTCAGAGTTTCCCACTGAAAAGAGGTACACGCCAAGGATGTTGCTTGTCACCAATTTTGTTTGCTATTAGTATAGAACCTTTAGCACCTTTCGCATATTAATCAGAAATAATCCAGCAATCATAGGTATATCGGATAAAGTTAAGACCAATAAATTATCATTATATGCTGACGATATTATATTATATCAAAGATCCAATCACTTCTATCCCAGAACTTTTGAAATGTCTAGGAGATTTTGGGGATGTCTCAGGGTACAAAGTTAATGAACTAAAATCAGAGGCCATGATGATAAAAGGTACATGGCCCACAGAAGTGTCCAAAAGAGTTACATTTAACTGGTCATCCAACGGATTCAGGTATCTGGGCATTATTATTACTTCGGATACCTCACTACTATATAAAGCAAACTATGGAAAATTAATTAATCAAATCCAAAAAGATCTCGAAAGATGGGATTTACTACCCCTTTCTTTCATTGGGAGAGTTGAAACTATCAGGATGAACATCCTCCCCAGACTCCTATTTGTTTTCGTCCCTCCCCATCTGGATCCCTACAACAAATTTCAAAAAGATTCAGAAAATGATTTCTAATTTTATTTGGCAGAAAAAGAAACCTAGAATAAAATTTACACGACTTACCAGCAGTAAGGCTTTTGGTGGGCTAAATTTACCTAATTTACAGTTATACTACTGGGCAGCACAATTACGTGGGGCAGTGGAGTGGTTAAAGCAAAGTGAGGAAACAACATGGATAACTCTAGAACAAAGTGAGTGCTCTGATATACCTATGCAAGCTTTAGCGTTTTGTTCGAAAGCGATATGGAATAAATGTAAGATAGAAAACTCCTGGATGAAATGCACGCATAAGGTTTTAACTATTGTTAGGAAGAAGATAAACGCCCCTCAATCAATATCTAGAGCTATGAAAATATCAGAACTAATTGACTTTCGACCGGGACGACTAGATTCAAGGTTTCGAGAATGGGAAAGGTATAATTTAATTTTTATAGATGATTTGTTCGATGGGGAGGTTCTGAAATCATTTGATCAGATCAGGGAGAAATTCAATTTGAACACAACAGATTTTTATAGATTTTTGCAGTTGAGAAGTTATCTGATTTCTCACAAAGAGTGGTTATTTTTAAAATCACAACCAAGTGAGCTGGAGAGGATGTTTATAAAGACCAGGAAGAAAATTAAATGTGATAAAGTTGTGTCATGCTTATATAAATGTTTACAATCAACTATGTCGACGAGTTCTCTTGAGATAAAAGAAAAGTGGGAATTGGAAATGAATAGAACTATAGAGGACCACAACTGGGAGCAGATGTGTGAATATGGACATAGACTAACTAGCAGCCCAACATGGAAAGAATTTTTCTGGAAAGTGAATATTAGATATTTTAAAACCCCATTCATGATTTCAAAATATAAGACAAAAACAAATTTATGCTGGAGACAATGTGGACAAGTTGGCGACCACACACATCTTTTGGGACTGTCCAAAATTAAAATCATTTTGGGAGGGAATTAGGGGGGAACTATCTAAAATACTACACATTCACATAGAATGGGACCCACTGGCTTTTATCTTTGGAATGCTCTTACCTCATGTTCTGAGTGGGGACAAAAGGTACCTGTTGATGGTTCTTTTACTGGTAGCGAAAAAAATGATAACTGTGTCCTGGTACAAACCACTACCCCCCACAGTAAAACAATGGAGGGAGAGAGTTATACAGGTATACACAATGGAAAGAATAACATTAAAAACTAAATCTTAACATGACTAAGTTTGAAAATATTTAAATTTGCCACAGAAATGATGGCCAGAGTTCTAGTGACAGTCCTTTTCTTTCTTTCTTTCCATTTGGACACTTAAGGATGCTCAATCTTTAAAAGCATAGATTTCATTGTCAATCTGCCGAGACTTTGTTTTCGTTTGTTTGTTCTTTTTCTTTTTCACTTGTTTTTGTTATGAAGTGTCTTCTTTCTGAATAACACTTACTTAAAGCTTTCTGTATTGCATAAATGTGGAGATAAACTGTGAAGCTTGTAACAACAATAAACACTTTTGTTCAAAAAAAAAAAAAAAAGAATGTCTTGAGGACGGAAAAAAAGATTATTTTGTGACGGCTGCTGAGCAGTCAAACAGGATTTAAAGTAGTAGTATGTAATATTTGCATGTCAAGTCATCATTAAATGGCCCCCATATTTCAAAAGGCGTTATTAAATCATACTCTTTTCGAATACATCTTTAACTGATAACAGTAGTTCAGCCGAGATATTTGAATATCAAAATTAGTTTTACGACTCGGGTCGAGAGTGATTAGGTTTAGGGCTTTCTACCCGCCGCTGCATGCCTCGCCGGAGGAGGAGCGGCGGCACCTTCTGTGTCCGGTCAGGATGCTTAGGCGTTACCTGGCGGTGACTTCTTCCTTCAGGTTGGCTGATCAGCTGTTTGTGTGTCTGGGCCCCAAGAACAGGGGCGCCCCGCTGTCGTCTCAGCGGCTGGTGCACTGGGTCGCCACGGCTGTTCGTTTGGCGTATCAGGCTCAGGGCCTGCCCCCCCCCGGTGGGTTTCAGGTCGCACTCCACTCGTGGGGTGGCGGCCTCTACGGCCCTACTCACGGGGGCTTCGGTCGAGGACATCTGCCGTGCGGCTTCTTGGGCTTCATCCTCTTCTTTCATCCGGTCTTATCTTTTGGATGTGTCGGACCGGTCGGTGGCCCATTCCGTGCTTGGTGCAGCAGATTGAGTTGGAACCAGGGCTGGACATCGGGCAATGCCAGAAGGAACGATGCCCATATTTGGGCCGGTCTGTTTGCCTCATACAAAAAAAAAAAATGTGAATAATCTTAAGTAATATATATATATATATATATTAAGCAAAATAAAATTGTATCCCGTTTTTAAATGCAAAAAACAAAAAATATAGGTAATCAGGTATTCTAATTTCAAGACAATTAACTAACATTTTGCAGTGCAGTGGAGCTATAGGTGGAGGCTCTAGTTGGAGCTGTGGAGCCACAGGTGGAGGCTCTGGTTGGAGCTGTGGAGCCAGTGGTGGAGGTTCTGGCTGGAGCTGAGGAGCTACAGATTGAAGTTCTAGTTGGAGCAGTGGAGCCAGTGGTGGAGGCTCTGGCTGGAGCTGTGGAGCTACAGGTGGAGGCTCTAGTTGGAGCTGTGGAGCTACAAGTGGAGGCTCTGGTTGGAGCTGTGGAGCTACAGGTGGAGGCTCTAGTTGGAGCTGTGGAGCTACAAGTGGAGGCTCTGGTTGGAGCTGTGGAGCCAGTAGTCGAGGTTTTGGCTGGAGCTGAGGAGCTACAGGTGGAGGCTCTGGTTGGAGCTGTGGAGCTACAGGTGGAGGCTCTGGTTGGAGCTGTGGAGCTACAGATGGAGGCTCTGGTTGGAGCTGTGGAGCTACAGATGGAGGCTCTAGTTGGAGCTGTGGAGCTACAGGTGGAGGCTCTGGTTGGAGCTGTGGAGCCAGCAGTCGAGGTTTTGGCTGGAGCTGTGGAGCTACAAGTGGAGGCTCTGGTTGGAGCTGTGGAGCTACAGATGGAGGCTCTGGTTGGAGCTGTGGAGCCAGTAGTCGAGGTTTTGGCTGGAGCTGTGGAGCTACAGATGGAGGCTCTGGTTGGAGCTGTGGAGCCAGTAGTCGAGGTTTTGGCTGGAGCTGTGGAGCTACAGGTGGAGGCTCTAGTTGGAGCTGTGGAGCTACAGGTGGAGGCTCTAGTTGGAGCTGTGGAGCTACAGGTGGAGGCTCTGGTTGTAGCTGTGGAGCTACAAGTGGAGGCTCTGGTTGGAGCTGTGGAGCCAGTAGTCGAGGTTTTGGCTGGAGCTGTGGAGCTACAGGTGGAGGCTCTGGTTGGAGCTGTGGAGCTACAGGTGGAGGCTCTAGTTGGAGCTGTGGAGCTACAGGTGGAGGCTCTGGTTGGAGCTGTGGAGCTACAGGTGGAGGCTCTGGTTGGAGCTGTGGAGCTACAGGTGGAGGCTCTGGTTGGAGCTGTGGAGCTACAGGTGGAGGCTCTAGTTGGAGCTGTGGAGCTACAGGTGGAGGCTCTAGTTGGAGCTGTGGAGCTACAGGTGGAGGCTCTGGTTGGAGCTGTGGAGCCAGTAGTCGAGGTTTTGGCTGGAGCTGTGGAGCTACAGGTGGAGGCTCTGGCTGGAGCTGTGGAAGAAGCTTTAGTTACTTTTCTAACCCTAATAGTTGAGAGAACCTTCATAGCTTGCAAGTTTCAGCTCCTTTTGTTTCTTCTGTTTATCTGTTGTTTGCTTTAGATGTGTTTTATATCTGGAGAAAGAAGGGAGACACATTCTTCTCATTCCGGCACTCATGTCAATGTGAAGGGAGGTTTTTCCTGAGGACTTTATGTTGGACTTGATAATGGCTAAAGCCTCATAGGTTTCAATATTCAACATCACTCTGTCCTTTTCAATTATGTCATCCATAATGTTGAGTGTGCCTCCAACAAGAGGGCCTGAAAACAGAGACAGGAGAGCCTTCACCAATTTCCCCATTATGGGAAATCTTACTTTCCCAGGCAATGTCTTCTTGGAAAGAATGGGATTCCACCAGTCCACATCAATCCGATCGGTTTCCTCCACAAAATGTTGGGCCTTCTGTAACAAATCGGGATCAATCTGGTACGCCCGTACCTCTTCCGCCAGCTGACCGAGACTAACTGGCTCCAACACATTGGGCAAGGCCTGGGCTAAGGCAATGAAGGCATCCAGGATGGAGTCTTGGGAAATGAGTGATGGTGTTAGTGCAGACAATGACACAATTACTTTGTTGTTGAGGGGCAGGTTTTTAAAAAGAAATGCTGCTGCCTTGCTGTAGCCCGTTCTAAGAGATGTATAGATTTGAGGAACCCAATGCTTTTTATCAATCCTTGCCTTATTTAAGGCATACAGGCAAAATCTCCCCACACACAGCTTTTTGTCAGGGTAGTGCAGAGCCCTGTCTGTGATATCCACTCTCAGCAAGTCCTTGACAGCCACAGGAATGGAGGATGGCTTCATGAACTTGGAGAGAAGCTCCCTGACAAGCACCACCATCTCTGCATGAAGAACATGCATGAGTGGCTTCTCATGCTGCAGCCTTTTAATGAAACCCTGGAATGTTGGCAGCACTCCTGAAAATACACCAGAACACAAACAAACCAAATAATGATTATTCATTACTGTTACATCCTCTCACTTGTATTTGTGTATTTTGCCTAAATAATCTTTATATGAACACATTTTGTTATGTTGATGCATTTACAAAGAGGCAAAATGCAAATTACAAAGACTACACCTATTTAGGCAACATAATGTTCTCTAATCCCATCTAATACCAACAATCTGTCTGTGTTGCGATCTATTTAGTATGAACCTGCTAACCATGTAGTTTAGAGCTCTACAAATGATTTGAAATGCCTGGGATTCTCAAATTAGCTTAACAATTTATAAATTATATTCACAGCATCTCTCAAATATTTGTTAGTTTGAATAGGAAGGAGACAAGTAGCAACAACATATTTTACCAAAAACCGTAAATGCTCTAATACTGGCCTGTATTCCATCACTGGTCTCTCTGCTGGGAGGCAAATAAAAACCAGTCTCTAAAACAGGCCGGGGCTATTAGAAACCAGCAGTTATAAATGTCTAGTTGTAGCAACATGCAAGTAACACAAGAGCAGTGCAGAACATATCTGTCTTTGAGCTTAATGTCTCTGTGCACTGTCCCTTCAATAAAGACTAAACTAAACTAACTAACTAACTAACTAACTGTCTGCTAACGAATCCAAGCCTTGGCTACAATGGCCTGATCATGTCTCTTGACTCTCGCATGTGGTTATACTTTGGAGGTAATATGTCTAAACCAGTCCCGTAAGTTGCCTTTTGTTAAGTATCAATAGCAGTAGCCTAATTATCCCTGTGTATCGTTAAGTGTTTGCGATGTTAATTAATAAATGAACAAATCTCGTTTTTTCTTCATTCTACTGCGTTAAGCTGTAAAAAACAGTCCCATAGGTTGCCTTCTGTTATGTATGAATACCAGTAGCCTAATTATCACCCCGTATGGTTAACTGTTTGCAATGTAAATTAATAAATTAACCTAATACTTTAGATTCAAATGGACACAAATCTTGTTTTTCTTTCTGCTGGTGTCCGTTTTGCTCAAATTGAAATAAAGGCCTGTCTCTAATTTTGGCCTGGTTCCAATAAAGGCCTGGTCCTCAATACGCTGGAGTAAATAAAGGCCCGGGCCTATATTAGAGCATTTACGATATATTTTTAGATGCTGTACCTCTGTATAAGTCGACCAAAGTGGTGAGCTTTTCATGTTCCCAAAAGAGAACAGAGATGCTCTCTTTACGCCTCTTGTTCTCGGTGGTGGCACAAGCCGATCTGCTAATATCCTGCTGTACAACGCTGATTCTGGCCCTCTCCTCCGGTGAAATAGAAGACCTCTGGCAAATAAATAAATAAAAAATATATATATATATATATATATATATATATATTTTTTTTTTAAACTGAACCAAATAAATAGAGTGCGATAATCTAAATAAATTATTGTCCAATTCTAAAAAACAAATGTAGCATGGTTAAAATAGAGGTCATGCAGTTTTAAATAAATAAATGGGGCATAAAGCCAACTAACTGTATTCAATCCGTTTAAGAGATAAAGCATGAAGCTGAAATAGACTTCCAGACTTTTTGGGAGGCTTGTATACACTTGTGGCAGGAGCATGTAAAATAAATTATAATGAAGCAGCAAGCTGATATTTTACCTGTATTTGGTCTTATCTGCTGGCGACAGGATGCTGTAATAATGGACAGTTAACGGATCAAGAAGCTCCTGCAATCTGTTGCAGACATCACCCCCAAGGGCCGGCATTGTAACCTTTTTTTATTCATTGTAAATAAACATTTTATCTTGTCAAAGCTGTGTTATTATTCAGCAGTGTTTTTTCTAAGAAAGCTGATCAAAGAACCCCACATTTTTGACAGTTGCATGCACTATATATCTAGGTGTGGATTTCATTCTTCAATGACTAAGTACTGTAATGGATGATTTTATATGACATTTTATTTTTATATATAAGAAGATATCTCTACTACAAATCTATCAGCTGCTCTGTTATGATTTTATGACCACTAAATACATTCTTATAATTATTCTTATTCTGAGTAAATAATAATTAGCACTGTGATGAAGTGAGTCTTACAACTCCACTTGTCCCTTAGTACACTCTTGGTTCCACACACACACACACACAGGTTTTGTCAAATACACAAACAAGGCCCGGGATATGAGAGTAAGTTTGTCAGTTCCACATACTCACTCATTCAAGTTAACTTTGTTTAAAACACCAAACACTATAGTAAGGTTTAAACATGTGTATTCATTTGTTTAGAGGGAACTCTGCTTCTAACATACCTGCTCCATGAGGCATCAGATTAAAGGGGAGGGCCACAGAGCATTTCCTGGTTTTAACCCCTTTGGAGTGAGACCTCTGTCTAGCTCCACCCATTTAAAGGAGGGGTTTGATAATTAACCTGGTTTATGTTGATTTGTGTCATTGGTGTAATTCTGTGTTTAAGCTGTGTTACTGTCTGTGCAGTAATTGCTTCTTGTTTGTTTACAGATGCCTATTGGTGGTGTCCATCCATCCATCCATTTTCTTCCCCTTAATCCATTTCTGGGTTTGGGGGTGGCAGTCAGAGCTGCACCCAGTCACAGAGCACCAGCCTCTCACTGATCCTCCTGCAGGTGGTGAGTCCACAGGAGCTGAGATCTTTCAGTGAGGGCTTCTATTGGTGGTGTATAAAAGCATATTCCAGCCGAGTGGGAGGAGCCAGTCAATTCAGGCCATGTATATATGCCAGGTGTGCTGGCTGTTCTAAGAAAAGAGAGGCACTCTCCATGTTGGGCTTGGAGAAAGAACATGTATATTTGGGAGCACTGTAAATAAATCCACCCTTTTTGTTACAAGTTTTGGAGCCTTTTTTGACCACTCTTACACTACCTCACAAATGGTGGCAGTGGTGCTTCCAGTTTTTGAAGATTGCTCCAAAGCGTAAGCCTCAAGTGAGTGGACTTGCAGATGAAGTGAAAAATGGATACGGAGGAGCGGAGGCCCTCTGTGATGATCCACAAACTCAAAGTATGGCGGACATAGCAAACTTGCTTCAGGGCTTGGTGAGGAAGCAAACTGAGCACGATGCAAAATGGGAGCAGGAAAAGCTACAGCAGGAGAACCGGTGGCAGTCCATGGAGCGCCGGGTGGACCAGCTTCAGTAGGAGGTGAAAGCTGAGCGTCCAGATACTCCTCCAGTGATGGTCGGTGCAGCACCTGCAGCTCAAGCAGAGAGCCCCAATGTTCCAGCTATGGTGAGGATTCCCAGTTGGAAAGGGCCTAAAATGCAGCCGTACCAGGAAGATGAGGATATTGAACACTATTTGACTACTTTTGAGAGAATCGCCACAGCCTGCCGGTGGCCACATGAAGACTGGGCTTTGCACCTGGCCCCACTTCTCAATGGAATGGCACGAGCAGCATATGTGGCTATGGATATTTCTGAAACTATGGACTATGTATTGGTGAAAAGAGCTGTTTTGGAGAAGTTTGAAATCAGTGCAGAGACCTACAGGATGCGGTTCCGATCTAAGGTCGTTAAGGAAGATGAGACGCCCAAGGAGCTGCAGTGCCGGATGAAGGATCTCTATGAGAAGTGGCTGACTCCGAGAGACAAGACCAAGGAGCAGATTGGTGATGCGATCGTGCTGGATCAGTTCTTGAGAGTGCTTAACTCGGATCTACAAACCTGGATCAAGGAGCGCAACCATTCATCATCAAGGGAAGCTGCAGAGTTGGCGGAAGCCTTCTTGTCAGCGCGCCGCTCTTTAAAGAGTTCTTTATCAGTCAGAGCCAGTTTTTCTCCTCAGTCACCTGTAGTGAGTAAACCTGTGGGTGGGAGTGGGTTTAGACCAAAAGCCCCTATACCTCGGTATTCAGAGCCTAACCCCAGGTTTAGAGAGTTTAAGCACAAGGGACCTGTGGTATGTCACTCATGTGGTCAAGCAGGTCATGTCAGTAAGACGTACATATGTTACTGACATGTGTTTGTTTTGTTCTTCTGCCACTTTGACCACTCTTGCTACACTACCTCACAAGCACAATATAATAAAGAAATTAAAATAATGTACATTTCTACATTGTATTTTTTCCAGTATGGCCTCACTTTGGAATGAGGTCCTCACTGTTGAGTTCAACAGCCTCTGTAATGCCATAACACCTAAATCCTTTTTTGCTGAAGTATTATGCACCTCTTCTTTCTTTAGCATTGACTGGGAAGGCAACAACCAAAAGACCAGTGAGATTATTACTCTACTTCTAAAGACGCGGTGTAAAGCCTAGTGTATACTTGTGCGGCACGGAGGTGTCGTGACGTCACTTGCGCAACGTGTTGGTCACCGCAAGGCCCTTACGTTGCCTGCCGCGCAGCATCGACATTTTCTAACTACGTAAGGGTCGCCGCAAGGAAGCTCCGCTGTGATTGGTCCGTGTGTGTGTATTGGAAGGAAGCACGGAGCGGCTGCAGCAGGGACAATGGACGAGGCATTATGGAGCAGAGAGCTTTGTGCTTCGAAGAAAAAGCAGTTTGGGCTCAGAGCCTGATATACGGGGAGACTGTGGACTAACATGTATAACTTATAAACTGTGCAGTTGTTTTTTTGCACTATTCCTGTCTTTGTTTGAATCTGCACTCGTAGCTTATCGTGTTGTTGCATTCCTCCTGCACTTATAAATTGTTCATGTTTGCCTCAGATATTTAGCACTTGTAAATGTGGTACATATCACAAAAATGCTGTTTGTGCTGAATACAATTTAATAACTATGTTTCCAACAAGAACTGTCTTTATTCACAAGATCAGTTAAATAATGAGTCCATAGAACTATCACTTAAGCCTACAGTAGAAACACATGTAATGATCTCAAACAGCTCGGTTTGTTCATGTTTTAGTTCTGATGAGAAAGTAGCAGCGTAAATGAGACCGCTTTGGTAGGTCAGGCAACTCAATTTGAGAATGGGGTGAATGTAAGATGTTTTATTTTGAAATGGTACAACTACAAAATATGTTAGAACAGCAGGACCTCAAAGAGATACAGTAAGTGTCCATATGTGGCAGTGTGGAAATGCACGATGAACATGCACCATGTTGATTACAGATTACATCAATAAATGTATCTTCATTTTGTGACATTGGGCCTCATGTATGAAACTTGCGTACGGCCAAATCAGGGTGTAAATGATGCGTACGCAAGCAGCACGCACTTTTGAGTTTGTTCACGTTAAAAAAAAATATATATATACGCTATATTATATGTACACTTTTTTCCCTAGTGTCTAGACCCACTGCAGCACTCATCTCTCCTGAAATTTTGACGTAAATAAATAAATAATAAATGACCTGAATGAATGAATGAACTATACTGCTGGTGCGCATCGCATATCTCTGCTCTGCGGAGTACAGGGCAATGGCTGAGACAGTTTTGAGCAAGATCATGTGCATTTACGGGGCTTTATGCGCAAAACTAAGGAAAACCCACATTGCTTTGCCAGAGGTGAATGAGGCAAAACATATGCGTAATTACGTATACAGCGCAGGGTCTGCCACAGATTGTTCATGCTTATGTAAAAATAAATATACGCTATATACGCTACGCTATTTATTCAGCTGCGTTTTGAACAAATTTGCAGAAATGTTTTTGATCGAAGTGAATAAATAATTAATTAATTAATTAATTCATATTGTGCAGCGTGGCTCTCATCAATGAAGCGTCTGCAGCGTCTTGTGAATGCACTGAAGCGCTGTACACTTGCGAGAGCGTTTGCGTTTGTTTATTGTTGTCCAAATCTTGAATTTCATGCGTGTTTTGGCGTGTTGTGACGAAGGGTGAAATGAGCGTACACATTTACACCACCTATTGACTTGGTGTAAATTCTATGCGTACCGTACGCTCACGTCCAGATTGATAAATGCGGAAAAGTGTAATTTTTTTGCGTACGCATCATTTACACCCTGATTTGGCCGTACGCAAGTTTCATACATGAGGCCCATTGAGAGGGCAGCTTCAGTCCAGCGAGAAAGCAGCTTTACTTTTATATTATAGTACATTACTGCAGAAATGTAACTAATAGAATTACTGGTATTTTATTTGTTAAGTGTTAATACTTAAGCCTGGTTCACACGGCAGGATAATTAGGCCAATTTTGGACCCGATTTACCCCTACGACAATCGTAAGAACGCTCCGAATATCGTAACAAAAAATCGGATGGATTTTCCTGCCGTGTGTGGTGTGTTGAGACTGCGCTCGTCGCTCGGAAGGACTTCGGGACTGCTCCGATCTCAAATCGGGGATATCCAACATGTTGGATTGTTTTGGCCCGATTTCTCTTCGTGTGTGGTGTCCTCCAGGGACACACGAGCGCGTTGCCATGACTGGGGCGTGTAGCCAATCAGAAGACACGGTGACAAGCCGGTGAGGAAACTCCGTAAAAAAAAACAAATCAGTCAGGGGCATGGCGCTCCAGAAAGTTCGGTGGCAACACCGTGAATGTATGTATGACGTGTCGTGTAAAGAATATCATCACCGAAATGACAAGGAGAGGAATTGGGCAAAAATTGCTGCTGCACAGGTAGTGTTGGCATAAGCCGTATTCGGACGGGATTAGTACACTAAATGATCAGACTGATGGGTTGTGTTTGTACGTTTACTTTGCACTCTGTCCTAATACAGTACAGACGTGTTGATGCAGCTGTTACTGCAGCCGTGCTTGTTGGTTTGCGCATATGTAAAGTTTCATGTCTAGCAGTGTGTGTGATGCATTCACAGGTAGTCCATACAAACTGTATTGTTGAACAGCACAGACAGTACGGGCCAGAGAACTGTAGAGCAGTAAAATCCACATGTACTGTATGTGTTTGTCCTCATGGTGTCTGTGGCTGCTGTGGTCAGACGAGAGTCTCTATAGGCTGCGTGAAGCGGAGAGGCCTGCACACTCTGTTTACTCTGAAGTCACGCTTGATCTTGAGAGATTTCAGTCTGATCTGTGAATGCTCGGGGGTGAAATGCTGTGTGTGGTTTGCGTGATTTTGCCGTGTGGCTGCGCACCACACACTGTACCACCAAAGTGGTTAGACCCGTGATTTTTTATCTCCGTGTGTGGGGTCTCACATGGAGAAAAAATCGGCCGACAATTTTTAAATCGTCTTGTGTGAACCAGGCTTAAGGTATTGATATTTTTGAGTGTTGTCTACAAAGAAAATCCCAAATATATATATACAAATTATATATATATTGTGAGGTAATAAGTAACAGTAATGTAATTCTTTGTAAATAATAAAACAACTTCCATGTAAAGCTTTGTTGTTGTAATGTACATACAGTATGTGTTACATACGGCATGTCATTCATTACACATGAAGAAAAGCAATATTACAAGTTATTGTAATTATCTAACCTTATACATACCCTGTCAACCGCAACCTTGACAGATGGGATGTTATAGATGCTACCATGTTACCATCGTGTCTGGGCCTGACGTGTGGTTCCTCCTCTCCTTCCTCAGTCCTGCCCTGGCGTCTAAGTACTGTACATCTAATTCATATGTACTGTAACATAAAATCATAACAGACTTTTAAATAATCCTATGCTTGTGTACAAGTCTCTCCATGGCCTCGCACCAAAGTACATCCATGACATGTTAGTACCATATGAACCAGCCTGGACTCTGAAGAGCGCAGGGACGGGACTCCTGCTGGTGCCCTGAGTCAGAACTAGACATGGGGAGGCTGCTTTTCAGATTGATGCAGCTAAGGTCTGGAACAGTCTTCCTGAGGATGTGAGACTGGCTACCTCTCTGGCGATGTTCAAATCCAGGTTAAAGACTATTCTTTTTGCCTGTGCATACAACTGAAGAATTTTATCTTGTTAACGCACTTTGTTATTTATTTATTATTGTAACCCTTTGTGTGATTTTAATGATTTTAATTACCTGTGTGATTTAATGGTGATGATTTGTGCCTTGTGTGGTGTGGACTGTGAGGCGCTTTGTGTTTCCCTGTGTAGGAAAAGTGCTCCATACAAAAAGATTGATTGATTGATTGATTTTTACAAAGACACGTCACACTGCAATTTCCCACAGCATTATGTTCATCACAAAAGTTATCAGAGTGAAGCTGTTATAAAGTTTATATTTGCGCTAATGGAAGACTAATGGAAATAAAACATATTTTGATCAACTTGCAAAGCAGTATTTTTCTATAAAAGACTGGATTGTTTTTATATCTTGTTTCTCAGTGATGCTAACATGCTCCACAGGCAAGCCGCGTTCTGCTTGATAGCTGGGTTACGACAAAGTTATTTAACGCTAATATAACACATTAGTGTACTGTGTGTGTAACACCGTAGCAACAGTAGCTCAGTTGGTAGAGCATTGGCCTTTGGGCCTGAAGGTTGTGGGTTCGAGCCCACCGTAAGACCTACTTCACGACTCCCACTGATGACTGTTGTCGTTGTGTCCTTGGGCAAGACACTCAACCCCACTTTGCCTGAAGCCCCCACTGAAAGATCTCAGCTCCTGTGGACTCACCACCTGCAGGAGGATCAGTGAGGGGCTGGTGTTCTGTGACTGGGTGCAGCTCTGACTGCCCGTGATTTTTTACCCCGACCCAGAAATGGATTAAGGGGAAGAAAATGGATGGATGGATGGAATATAACACATTCATACTGTTGTCAATCCCAGTGTTTAGTTTTCAATTACGGATAGATCTAACAGAGATAATCTGCCGCTTGCCTCAGAAGTTACAAAGCACGCCAGATATTTTTGCAGAATCCCTGTTTTGATCCATCAAAAAGCTCTTTGAGCTTGAAACGATGACAAGGATAGGTAAGAATATTATCACATTACTTTACACTTTAGTTTAGGTAAAAGGAGTAAAACATTGAAATTCATGTTTTACTTGTCATTTAAAAGAAGAGAAAATATTAAAATAAAAAAGTTTGTTACTACATATTGGCTCGGTCTAATAATAATTAGACAACAACTAGAGCCCTAATTATGAGAACACTATACGACACTCAAAGACACTTCATGCATCATTATTCACGTCACTTCATACAAAGTGGTGATAAACTACTACTGTAGCTGTCCTGGGGCACACTGGGCCAGGCAACAAGTATGGGCCACCCTCTCACCCCTAGTTTGGCACTTTACAGCCGTCGCCCCACTGTGGCACCTCCCATCAATACTAACATGCACTGCCCTGCTTTGGTCTAAAGCAGGACTAAGCCGGGTCTAAACCAAACATCCGATCAGCTTATCCAGATAGAAAAGTTCAGCTATCAGCCCAAAGAGTCTAATAGTTACTCACACTACAGATATGTTTTCTAATGAGAATAAGAACAGGAGGCATTTTGTGATTCAAACTGTAAATACCATCTTTTATTTAACATATTTTCACATATTTTCAATGAAAAGCTTCAGTTCATGTATTTCATTGATCATGACATTGTTATTAATATATTTCTGATATGATCTTTTTAACGTCGTGTGCATTCAGGACAACAGGGGGCGACACATCAAGCAAAGGGGAAGTAAACACAGAGTGCCCAGGGAAAAGTGAGACTGGTTTTATTTTATTATTATGAAAGCGTCAGCCCAGTCTTCCACAGACTCCACATTTATAGCACCACCGAGAGATGGGGCGATTAAAAATCAATGAACAAGTCAGGATTGTTTGAAACAGTGAGAAAGATGTGTGAAAGTGCAAAGACAACATCACACTCTCAAACTCTAGTGGTCGGTGGGGGAAGTTGGCATGTTGTTTGCACCTGTGTCGGCTTTTCAAAATAGAAGGGTTAAAACAAACTTCCCACTTACAAAATACGTCTTCTAAAGTTACAGCACAAGTCCAGGACCTGAGAGAGACCAGAGAGAGATCAGAGAAGGACCAGGGAAAGACCAACGAGAGAGAGAGACCAGAGGGAATTACAATATTATCGACAATGGCAAGTTTTTCATTCACATGGAGCAAGATAGCATCTCTGGTCTTTCTCGGTGGCCTCTCTTGTCTCTCTTTCTCGGTGGCCTCTCTCTGGTCTCTTCCTGGTCTCTCTCTACTCTCTCATGGTCTATCTGGTCTCTCTGTTGTCTTTCTGCTCTATCTGGTCTCTTTTGGGTATTTAACTTCCCAGCTTTAATTTTACACTATGGAAGATTTTGGTTTGACCCCTTGGCCTAAATATTATGTATTTGAATTAAAAACACATTTGGCATCAAATGTTGATCCTTGCAATGATATAGGTTCATGAAAAGGACATATTCAGGTATAACAACTGGAGGCAAAACGAATACATCAAATTTAGACAGAAAAGTGCATATTTTTAAGCTGGACACAATTTTTTATTGATGATTAGCATTATTTCTAATTGTGGGAGACTGGGCTGCAATCACTTTATATCCCTGAAACCTCTTTTGGTGTTTTCAAAAGCGTCTATTATTATCATTATTATTATTATTGTTATTATTATTAATATTAATGGCATTATTATTATCATCTTAAATATCGTGCCTTTGTACAAGTACACTTTCCTCTTGTGTTTTTACACGTGGTCTACAGCTGTACAGTTGGACGAACAGTAACAGTGCACGTCTGGCTTTGCGGATGGTGATTCCTATGTGCATATATAACTCCGGCCTCTAGAGGGAGCCAAGCGCAGCCACTGAAACGTCACCACCACGCAGGAACAAGTCCTCAGCTGAAGGAGTGAACAAGACAGAAACCTTTCAGCTAATCAGTTCCAAGAAAGAGATGCAGTGGAAAATATTATTGCTCTGGAACAAGAGACTAGCTGATTGAAACTAACAGAACAAACCAGGACTGAACAAGCTCAAACCAGGACTAAACAAAGATTAAACCTTGATTGGGCCAGGAATAAACCAGGACTTAAGGTATCCATCTACATTCTTCTAATTCATTCAAACCTGGGTTTACAGACTACCTTCTCGATACAAGCTGACCTGACATCTCAGGCTGATCGAGGTGAAGGCGCAGCAGTTCTACTCCGAGTATCATTGCACACACTTCACCAGTCCGGTCCTGCTCCTCAGTCTGGTCCTGCTCATTCCAGTCCTGCTCGTCCTGCTTAGTTGCCTGTGGTGGTATTGTTTCAGTGCTCGCTGCGTGGATCAAGTGCATAATATTAATTTCTTTTGTCACTTTTTTCTGGTATTTTCTCTTTTTTTCAGGAATCTAGTGGCTTATCTTACTGTTTGTTAAGAGAGTGCTCTTTTGCGTTATCTGCGTTTTCGACACTGCCCCACCAACCCAAACCAGGTCTGAACCAGATCCAGACCAGATCTGCTTCAGTCCAGATATCTGAGGCATGTCTAAACCACTTCTGAACCTGGTCTAAACCAGTTCTAAACCAGGTCTGAACCAGGACTAAAACAGGATAAACCAGGTCTGAACCAAGTCTAAACCAGGACTGAACCAGGTATTAACAGGGCTTAACTGGATTATACCTGGACTGACTAATCTCCAGTAAAAGTTCAACTGGGCTCCCGCAGATGTTACGTATCATTTTGTACTAAACCAGAACTAAACCAGGACTAAAACAGGATAAATCAGGTCTGAACCAAGTCTAAACCAGGACTAAACCAGGTATAAACAGGGCTAAACTGGATAATACCTGGGTGTGATGAAGTTTGGGTTAGGTTTTAATCCTATTCTTTTGCAGTGTTGCATGTTTGTTTGCGTTGTGTGTTTCACGTGTGTAATTGTGTGTAGTTGTGTGATTGATACTGTATGTGGTTGTTTGAAGCGATTCACAGAGCACTGGGGTTCCTGAAGTTGTGTCCGGCAAATCGGGCCTGATCCCCCAGCTCCTCCTCGATCCTGAAAAGACAAGTGAGGTTTCACAAATTAAAGCTAGGATACTTAACTTTCAAAGAACAACAATAAAACTATGTGTTAAACCCATGTCTTTAGGTCGAGACTAGTGATAGAACAGTTTGGTTCTACAGTATCACTAGTTTAACATGCATGTCTTTTTGCCTCTGTCACATCTTTAGATCAGATATTTTGGGTTGAGCAGGTGGAGCTAAATAAGCTTTTCGTTTTTTGGTGGCTTGTTTTATCAAACAGGTTATCAAATATGTTTGTTTGAATGAATGAAAATAAAGAAATAAAGTAAGAAAAAAGAAAACAAAATTGTAACAATAAAATTAAATGTTCTACTTTTGCTAGGGATGTAAAAAACTATGGATTTTCATGACCGACCACCGAGCCTCATTAACCGGTTGAAACCGGTTAACCGCGTAGTTTAAAATAGTCCACGTTCTTTGAAATAACAGCCATTTCGAGCCGCGTACTTTTCATAAGTGCAGCTCTGCGTTCTACTGGATCAGAGTTGAGACAGAGGCGCCCAAACCCGCAACAGCTCCGGCACCTTTGCGCACAGAGAACTGCTGTTTTAATCTTCCCATTCTGCTGTGCTGCGGGTTAATACCAAAACTTTCTAGCAGCAAACGACGGCTCGTTCACATGGTCAGAGCAGCGAGTGACGAGCCGCGTCTCACAGGTCTTCACAAAAGTTTAAATACAAGTGATGTGTGTGGAGCTGATCCCGAGGACCATAAACACAAACATGTTCCATGTGGTTTGACTGGAGCCGCGTATTTGCGCGAATCCTTTGGGCTCCGTGACAGAGGAGCGCGACAGACCGGTATGTGTGTGTGTATGTATGTGTGTATGTATATGTGTGTGTGTGTGTGTAAATGTAAGCTCCAATGTAGTTCTGACCCGCGCCAGTGTGCAACTTTGACGGTAACAGAGGGGAGAGATGATGCGTGTGGATGTTACGTATGGAGAGGGGGAAAGTGTGTATGTGTGTGTGTGTGTGTGTGCGTGTGTGCATATGTGGCTCGTGCGGCGTGAGAGTCGTCCCGGAGTTTATAATACATGGGCGCACACAGCTAGATACGGACCCGCTCGTCACACCGTGCAAATAGGGCTTAAAATAGCGTTATTAAGAGACCTCCCCTCTCCCCTTTTTCTCTTTTTTAACCGACAGCTTTGACCGGTTAACGCTGTGACGGTCAACCACCGGTTAAACGGTCGCCGATTTACATCCCTAACTTTTGCGCCTAATGCCCAATAAACACAGCAGGGAAGACACCAGAGGCCTCATTCCTCATGGTTTGCGCCACACACACCCTTTCAGACACGACCTGTGTCACCTGTGCATTCATTGGTATCAGTTGAAGTCTCAAGCTCGGCCCTTTCCCCTCAGGCCACTGTAATCTCCCTGTGTCACAGACATAATAGACTGTAAAAATTAATGGACGTAGTCACGCCTATCTCCTCCGTTCCTCCGTCCTATTTTTGGCCCATTAGGGCCAAAAATAATGCTCTACTGGAGCTATCCAAAATGGTCGCGAGTGGTCCCGCCCACAAGAAAATTGTGAAAAAACGCATCTGCGCATGCGTCAGCCGGCGCAGGCTCCATTGATTTGAACGAGAGACTTCAAAACTTCACAGCAAGTAAACTAGAGTGGACCAAAAAAATTCACCCCCCCTCAGCATTGACACACATGTGGAACGGAGCTTTGGGCCAAGAGCCAACTGTTGGACCATCCTGTAAAGACATTTTTGAGAGGTCAGCCAATGCTATATGTTAGCATTGGCTAATTCTCATTCCGGGTCCACCCCCATCGGCCCGGGGTGGTATTTGTAGCGTTTGCCATTTCTGCAGCAGTCTAACGCTTTACCAGTCACCAATGTGGTCAGTTAGCACTTTCTATTCACGGGAGAAAACAAGACGCCATCATCACTCTGGTGCACGAACTCACGGCACTATATTTTGTTGCGCATGCACTCAATAACAAACTAGTGCACGCAGGCACATGACATCACCACGTACACTATTTAACATGGCTTTGCTTATTATATCAAATATGCTTAACACTCCCACTCAAAGACATGTTTGCAACTCTGAATAGTGATGTACAAAAACAAACAAAAGCATAACTCCAAAATCAAAACATTTGGCCTACTGGCAGTGTTAAAACTTCAAAACACATTTACATCTGCCAGTTAACATTACATTCCAAACAAATGCTCTTTGAATTTCTCAAATCTTGCCTTTGTCACTGGCTTGGTAAGAACATCAGCTACCATGTCTGCAGTAGGACAGTATTCAATGGAAATCTGTGTGTGCAGACCGAACAAAATGGTATTTAATATCTACGTTTTATATACTATAAGCTCCTTTGTCTGCATACAGGGTTTTTAGATAGAGCTATTGCCCCCTGGTTGTCTTCATATATTTTGACTGGTAAATGCTTATTACTAGCATCTACACCTTTGAGAAGTTGCACAAGGTACATACTCTCTTGAGTAGTGGCTGCTAGGGCCATATACTCCTCTTCACAGGTGGAGAGAGCCACTCTAGGCTGTTTCCTGCTCTTCCACGAAATAACTGGACCATTCTCAGTTAAGCTGAAACAGTATCCTGTTGTGCTCCTCTTATCCTTTTTATCAGCTGCCCAATCAGCATCACTATATCCCTCAAGCTTAAGGCTTTTCTCACTTTTCTGGAAGTGGAGCTCTTGGTCTGCAGTGCCCTTTAAGTACCTGAGAAGGTGCTTTGCTGTAGTCCAATGCTGTTGCTTAGGTTCTGATAGGTGTTGTGATAGTTTACTCACAACCCAGCTCAAGTCAGGTCTTGTACATGTCCTAATGTATATGAAGCTATCTACAATCTCTCTGTAACCAGTTGAATCGATAACTTCACCCTCACTGTCAAAATGTAACTTTTGCTCGCATGGAGTGGATCTTGGCTTGCATTCTGACATTCCAAACCCATCCATCCATCCATCTTCTTCCCCTTCATCCATTTCTGGGTCGGGGGGGTGGCAGTCAGAGCTGCACCCAATTCACTTAGCACCAGCCCCTCACTGATCCTCTGCAGGTGGTGAGTCCACAGGAGGACGGCTGCTCTGTCAGTGACAATACAGCCTTGATTTTTCAGCGGGGGCTTCAGGCAATGCAGGGTTAAGTGTCTTGCCCAAGGACACAACGACAGCAGTCATCAGTGGGAGTCGGTGGAGAAGGTCCCATGGTGGGCTTGAACCCACAACCTTCAGGCTCAAAGGCCAGTGCTCTACCAACTGAGCTACTGTCGCCCCTGACATTCCAAACTTTGCTAAAATTTTCTCTATGTGTCTCTTTGCGTCATTTGGATCTTTCCTTCACTTTGTCTGAAATCAATACCCAGGAAGTGTTTAAGTGGACCCAAATCCTTCATCTTAAACCTTTTCTGCAACATTTGTTTAACATCACTGAGTAAAGTGATGATTAAGTCATCCACCCATACTAACAGAATCACTTTCCCACTCTCTGATTCCCTGCTGTAAACACAATGATCAGCATCATTTTGAACAAACCCATTCTCTGTAAGGTGATTATGCAGTAACAAGTTCCAATTACGCCCGGACTGTTTCAAACCATACAATGACTTATTTAGTTTGCACACTAAGTGTTCTCCAGTTTTTGACTTCACCTCAAAACCTTCCGGCTGTTGCATATATACCTCACAGTCCATCGGAGCATGGAGGTAAGCGGTCTTTACGTCCATTTGGTGAAGGGTAAGGTCCTCCTGTACCGCCACCTGCATTAAAGCTCGGACAGAGGTCATGTTTGCTGTCGGTGAAAAGGTCTCTTTATAGTCAATTCCTTTCACTTGACCATAACCCTTTGCAACGTATCTTGCTTTATAAGTCTCTGATCCATCAGGGCTCTCTTTCACTGTGTATACCCAGTGACCTCCCACTGCTTGTTTGTCTCTTGGCAGTGGAGTCAGAGTGAAAGTCTCATTTTCTGTCAAAGAGTTCATCTCCTCTTTCATTGCGTCAGCCCACATTTTTGACTTCTTGGAGTCCATAGCCTCTGTGAATATTTTAGGTACATCATATGCCACTCTGTAGAAATAATCTACATTTTTGCTTCCATAAACATTACACTCAGCTTTACACTGATACTCTTTTAAGTATCCTGGAGCTCTCTTTTCTCTTATAGGAAACCTTCTCTCTCTCTGAGAACTATCTGTCTGGGGCGGCTCTGCTTCAGCAGTATCCTCAATACAGGACTCTTCACTCTCATCAGGCTGTCCCAGACAAGGGTTGACTATCTTTGGTCGAGCATCTCCATAACTCTCAATGTCATCCCCCATATCACAATCTGTCTGAGTCTGGCTATCTGCACTACCTTTAGTGATGAACTTTACCAGCCTATGTTTTAGGATTTTTCCGGTCTCAGGATAATACACAATTAATGCTGGACTATACTTGTCATAGCCTACAAACACCCCCTTTTCACACCTAGAATCCAGCTTCTTCTTATCCTGCTTATATACATAGCATTCGGAGCCAAAAATCTCCATTTTAGAGAGGTCAGGTATTTTTCCAGTGAAAACATAATAAGGTGTCTGCTCTAGACGCTTACTGTAACACCTATTGCGGATTTGAGCTGCTGTCTGTACAGCATATGTCCACAATTGCTTTGGGAGGTTACTCTCCAATAGCATGCATCGTGCCATCTCAAATAAGGTTCTCCAACCTCTTTCGGCAGTTCCATTCTGGTGAGGCGAGTAGGGTGCACTAGTCTCGTGCCTTATCCCGTTACTCCTAACTAGAGTCTGGAACGCCTGCCCGGTAAACTCTGTACCGTTATCTGACCTTATGCACTTTATTGTTCCATATGGAGCGACATCTACTATGAATTTCTCTGCGACTTTTGTTGTGTCACTCTTTGATTTGATGAAGTATGTAAAAATCATCCCACTATAATCATCAGTAAATGCTATTGCATATCTGTGTCCATCTTTATCGGCTGGC